GAGACTCCTCCACGACCTCCGACACTAAACTCTCCTCCTCTTGCGTGTTTCCGCTGTCCATAGCGTTCCTTGACAGTGTCGTTTCTAAGTCACCAATTTAGTGCTACTTGGTCCCAATGGAATTTCCCATTGGGGACCTACTAGCACTAAGTTGCTAATTGGTTAGCAAGATGCTTCTGAGACACCAGCCACAACCAAACATGCTTACGAACCTTCCGCCACAACAACCCTGCCACCTTGATATCGACCAATCACTTTATTCACTCGTGTAAAGTCGTGCACCGCTCGTGAGAATTCGGAAATGCAATGGTTGGAACAGCCGCCTCCCTACGATTTTAAATCTATATATTGTGGGTGGTAGTTTAGTCTGTTACTATTAAATAAATAATAATGATAATATTAATGGATGCATGCCCCAGTTGCCTTAGCAACCACTGAGAACTCCAAGGTGAGATATTAACTTATCCTTTATTGGACCGCCATGAAGAAGATGCACATGGTATGTTTAGATTAATGCTGAGTTATGTTAGAACTGTAATTACAGTCATATGTTTATATTACAATTTCTTTAAAAGTATTTATGACTTTTTTAAGGCTGCACTTTAAAAAATGAAATTGTCTAGAGCCGTTTTAAACTAAATTTCTTTTTGTATACACTTGTATATACAAAAGGACTAAATAAATCTGTCCAAGTCTAATAACATTTTTTTTTAAATAAGCAAAACTAAATTTACTACAAAAGTTGTAAACTTTATTAAGAATTTCATTTTTACATGTATTTGTGTACTAGAACAGGTTTATTTTAAAGAAATGCTCCAAGATACCAAACTGTCTTTCTTTGCCTCATTCAAAATCTACAGTTATGCATTATGTTATGTTAAAAGTATGTATGTAAAGGAGCTCAGAGCAATGTCTTCTTTAGTTTCTATTCAATATTTACATTAGCACCAGAGGTAGCATTCAGCGTGTTACTCTGCATAAAGGCCAGAACACCCGGACTTTTTAATCTCTGATCCGATTTTATTTATTTTTTTATGTCCCACTGACTGAGTATAGAGAGGCTCCGTCTAGGAGCAGATCTTCGCAGATTATTTTCACTTCTGTCTCTGTGCTGTACACAAATGAAAACAATTTCTCACATTTGACTCGGACGGATTATGAATAGTTATAAAAAAATAAATAAACCAGTGGCACATTCTATAAAGAAAAGCCCCACTTAACAAGTCTTAGCAGCATCTCAGACCAGAACAGATAGAGAATGTTCATATATTAAAAACATAATGAGATCTACGTCTACAGAAAAGAAAAACACAGCTATAAACGCAGTGGGACAGTTTCTATGCTGACTGAGGCAGAGAGGTGATTCTCAAAGAGAGATCTGCTCACTTTATCCAAGTTTTTCTTTCTTTTTTAATAAAGTGGTGAGAAAGATACACTGCGCTTACCTGCTCTGTCTTTTTATTATTTCATTCATTCTTTTTGCACCAGTCTGTCCTGCTTACTATATACGGGATGTCAGACTCCAAAACTGACTCATTCCCCATGTGATTAACAGATTTTATTTTGTATTTTCCCACAAAGCGGATCTGTTTTCCTTTGTAACTGCTTCTCTCTTCCTGTCAGACCCATTAATTGCAGCTGAATTGCTGCATATTCGGACTAAACTACACCTGGAGTCTATCTCAGTCGGACCTACACAGCCCCCTGCATAAAATCGTGTTGGATGTGATCATCCCCGTTGACTTTCAATGAGTGCTAAACGCTACGACCTCGAGCAACGATTTTCTGTCGGATCGGACATAAAATCTGATTCGGTGTGTTCTGGCCTTAACTTAGATCAACAACAAAATAGTTTTGACTCAGTGTATTCATTTTTCTTTAGAAGCACGGCTGTGACCCCATAGAGAAGCCATATCTCTGATAGATGAAGAGGAGAGAAAAAATACATTTTTATCACTTGGAACTCACATTATTTTCTCACTACCTGAGTCAGCCATTCTTCAAACTATCCATCATCTTACAGAGTTCTGTTCCTTCGATAAAGGGGGGATTTCTGACCAAAAAAGAAAAGGAGAAATCATCTCCATTTAAAAATGCCCATCCTGATCAATGCCCCAGCTCCTCTCTGACAACCCGAGTACAGGACAGATAATGAGCTGCAAACAAGCAGCAAGAATAAAATCATGTTGTTCTTGTAGCTGTGGGAATTCAACTTTATTTTTATCTGAACTCATATCACTAATCGGAACCAGAAGAGTGAAAATGTCCGATTTCTCACTCCAGCTGAATATTCTGATGGAGAAATGTTTCTTTTGAGTTGAAGAACAGATTAGAAGGATAGCAGCTGTTTGTTTCCATTTGCTGCTGTCTGTATCTGGATGGTAACATTTTTTTCTCATCTCTCTTAGCAACTTCATACCCTGGAGAAGGACTTGGTGTCAGCATGTGACCTTTTGGGAGTTGGTGCCGAGTATGCCAGAGTTGTGGGTTCAGAATATACCAGGTAAAGCTCTCTGCCTGCTATAAGTTTAGCATGTTTAAACCTGCACCTAGTTGACAGGGTTGGAAAAAAAAAGACGGGATTATTACAGAGATTCCCAAAGCAAAATTACGATTTTCTAACTTGGATGACATGTAACGACACCCGTGGGGTCAGCTTCATTAATTTTTGGCTGTTTCACATTAGATTTTAATAGAGAAACTTTTTCCTGCCGTTTTCTGTAAAGAAACTGGAAAGAAAGGGTTTTTGGAAGAAAGTCCTGGTGGTAATGGGTCATATTTTGGAGAACTGGGATAGTTCCATTGAAAAGTCAACCCTCTGTATCCACCAGGGTACATGAGGAGAAATCTTCATGAGAATACACACAGTG